GTATCAATTCTAGAATTTTAGAACTTCTTTTAACTTTATGAAATGGTTTTCTAGTTAGTTTTGTAAGCATGCATGTTCTACACTTTTCATTATTCTATTTAACACTTGTAATTAAACAAGATTTAGACATTACATCCATTCTATTATAATGAACATGTCCTAGTTTATAACACCAAAGACCAAAAGAATCAAGCAAGTAAGCATAAGAATTAACAATAATAATAATAAAGAGTAGATTGAGTTTAAACATGCCATTATATGCGTAATTCTTTCCTATAAATATGCCAACCTTAGAGAAAATAAATTTATCTCATTTAAAGACAAACTTGAAACCATGCTTATTAAGCAAACTAGTAGATACAAGATTTTTCCTAACTTCCAAAACAAATAAAATATTTACAACTGCAAATGCTTTTTATATGTAAATTCCAAATCAATTATTCTTTTTCCTTAATTTCAGTTCTTGAAGAATTCTTCATGTAAAGCACATTGTCTTATTCCTCTTAGAAAGTTTTTAATATGTTTTTATTAGTGCATGCATGTTTAGTGATGTCAAAGTCAATCCACCATACTTTTTTCTTTTTAATGACATTGATTTCAAAAATCATATTAACAAAGTTATCTTTAGTTGCATTCAATGCTTCTTTCTTCTTTTTGATTGGAAGATAATTTTAACAGAGTTAACATTGTTTGTTTCCCATAATAGAAACAGGCACTTTTTTTTCTTTTTGAACTTTTTGGCATTCAGAGACAATTTCTTTTTCTTTGTGGATTTACTTGGCTTGACATCTTCTACCACATGAACTTTGAAAGAGCTAGCTTCCTTTTTCATTTTCCTTACAGTATTGATCTTCTATGTAAATATGTCTTGCAAGTTCTTCAAAAGATAGTTCTTTCTTTTTGTGTTTTAAAGTTCTCTTGAAAATTTTTCATGACGGTGGAAGTTTGTCTATTATGGAGGCTACAATGAAAGATTCATCCACATCCATATTATATTGAGTGAATTTGTTCAAAATGGTGTCAATATCAAAGAATTGATCCATGTCTTATACATGTTCTATTTTGACACTAGGAACTTTTTACTTGTAGTATCTTGTTTAGTTTACCATGCATCCAACTTATCCCATACTTCTTTTGCTGATGTGCATGAAATGTAGGTACTGAATAAAGAATTAGATGTACCATTTAAAATGTAGCACATGCATGTATAATAATCATTCTTTCACTTTTAGCTCTTGCAAGTTTCATTATGAGTTTCATCATCTCTTTCTCCTAGTCTTAGAGTAGTGAGAACATATGCTATCTTCAATGTAGTGAAAAAGATATGCATCTTTTGTTGCCACCCTAGGAAGTTGCCTTCATCAAATCTTTCCAACTTTTAAAAGTTGGTTGTCATCTCGTTTATGAATTGATTGTCCATATTGCTAAAATAAGCCTTAATAATGTTAGTAAATTCAAGGCCTTGAAATGCAAAAATAATGTGTACTTTGTTCTATAACTTGTAATCTTCTTATATTCTCTATTTTGCAAATAGAATTTAGCAAATGGAAATTCAATCACAAATGAAAATGGTTTCAAGGTGTGTTGCTATTGCAACTATCCTTAAGGCTTATTTTACCTCTATAAAAAATGGTATGCCAAAAAGGTTGTATCGAGTAACCTCTAAGATACAATGAAGCCTATGTGTTGGTTTACTTTGCACTTAAAAAACCAAATCACAAAAAGCCTTTTGATGAAAAATGAAAGTACCTTGTCTTTAGCATCTATCGCAGTCGGTTGCTCTAGGCTAGTAGTTTACTACTATTTTATAAATAAACTTTATTTAGCTTCTATTTGTCAAAGAATTCAATTCCATGCCAATGGTGATTGACTATTCTTCTTAAAAGTCTAAAAAAATTGACTTTTACGTGCAAGACAGTGGACTGCCTATATGATCAATCTTTTATATTTGATTCTCTTAAGTTTAGAATCATGTTATTGTTCTTGCAACTATACCATAAGTTATTCAAAATTTTAATATAATTTCTCTTTGATTAGCTTTAATCATATTATTTTTATATTTTGAAAATATTTCTAACACTTTCATCAACAGTTCTATGGCTGAGGGGTTGGAAGAAGTTTCAAATAATCTAATTCCCATAGAGGGCTTTCATTAGCTTTTTAGTTTGTTATTATTTTTAACTGTTCAAAAATATTGTATAATGATAATTAAGAATTGTTTTCATTGCAAAGCTATATATTTCTAAAGTAAATAAATCAGAGCAATTTTGGTTGAGTTATATAATAATGTTGGTTGAGAATACAAGACAATTGGCTTTCATCATGTGTAGGTATTATTCTTTTTCATATGTTTATATATTGTGACAAACTACAATATTACAAAAGTAAATTGAGTTAAATGACAAATTCTTTGGTAAAATTCATTGTAAAGGGAAAGCTGGACTTGATAGTTTTGTCAATAAAAAAATTTTTCTTCTTAACATTAAATTTATAAAGGTTAAAGAGTTAAAAATGTTCTTGAATTATAATTTAATAATCATGTAAGTCTCTAATATTTTATTACAATCAATCAAACTCTTGATCTTTTATTTTGATTTAATTAAACTCTTAAATAGACGAAATTAGTCATATGATAAAATCTAATCAATCAATCATAGAATTATAATCAATCAAGCCCTTAAAGGGATCTTAGAAAGAGATATGAGAGAAAAAAATATAAAAAACATAAAAGAGAAGAGAAATATATTTTATTTAATTTTTGTATATATTAATCGCATCACGTAATAAATTGTAATATATTTTATTAATATCATATGAAATTATATTTTAGTTAGTAAAACAAAATTTAGTGATATCATCATTTACATCCAAATAATGATTTAATTTGATGAAAATAGAGGTACGAGGAGTTGATTTATTGTAATAAAAAATAGAGAACTTGAATGGATTTTTAATTCTATTTGAGGGATATTTTTAATCCTTTAGCCATTTATAAATTGATTTCAAAATTTGAGCCTTTCCTAATAACTACTAATTTCACATAGCTTTTTTTTTATCAATAAAAGCAAATTTTTATCAAAAAGTTTGAGAAAAAAAATAAATTTTTTATATTCAAATTTTTAATTTTCTTTTACATGTTATGTATTAGAGTTTGATTTTTTATTGACGGAAAAATGAATGTTTATCTATTACATGATCACATGTCACTTTAAAATTTTTTAAGTTATATTTAAATCAACCATTCCAATTAACTTATATGTTCCTATTGATTAATTATTTTATTGATATCAGGAAGTTAAATTTTAATCCAACTCATTAAGCACTAACACAAATTTTTGGAAAAGAGTTTGTAGGTCTATTACATTTTACTATATAATTCGGATTATTTTTCATATAATGATTTATATATTCACTTTCAATCACAGTTTTCGATCTCTCTCTATGATCTTTGGTCAATTTTTTTTCTAAATTAAAACATGAAAATCAATTAATTGGGTTAAATAACTAAATCAACTTTACTTTTGATTTGATATTATTGAATATTAAATCAATGAACTTTTATTATTTCTATATATTGGTTCTATGCTGCATAAGTAGCTAACATCAACATCCACTAATTTCTTGATTAATTATGAAAATAATTTTACCGAAAATTAGAACTGTCCTATAACTTACATAGGATTAAAAACTTCGTATTGCTTGCATTGGAATTTTGTCTTTTTTTTTTTTATTTAAACCACTTTTATTTTATTTTCTAAATTATTTTTTGCGGTTATCTCATTTGACATTTTGTAGTTGCATAAGTCATAAATTGAAATATTACTAGAAATTTATAAGGTTTGAGAAGGATCAAATAGTTCTTTGTGTTTGCTTTTAATTGCACCAAATTTAAATTTTTAGTTATTTTGGATTTTTAAAATGTAGTTTCCACTTCTCAAGTTTATCCGATATTTGTTATAAATTATGATTTACTATGGCATATATGCATTATGTGCGTATTTTTTCGTTAATAAGCATGTAGAATTTAGTTATTTGTATACAACATATACAATTATATATTCAATATATAATTATTATTTAAAAATAAATAAAAAAAGATAAAATATTTACGTCTAACGCACCCTAACAAAAGAAACTAATAAATTATTAAAAAAATGTAGCATCATTTGGATTTAATGTTTGTAAAACACAACTTTTTTTTTTTCTACACCTAAAATCTATACACACATAAGTTCGTAATCCAATATAGTACAAGTATCTTTGTTATAAAAATATAGTGTTTTAATTCTCAATATATATATATATATATATAGTGTTTTAAAAATAAATAAATCCATTATGTGTTGTGGGTTTGTTTTAATTTTATGCTAAATTTATATAGTTATATTTTAATTCATTAATTGATTTGTTTGTTTGATTATTCAATTATATAATATTTGATTATGATTGTAACTTGTATTTATAATTTTATAAATAAATTATGTTGAATTTTTTTTTGGATAAATAATACTTGTTAAATAATAACAGAAAGGCTAAAGGTATAAAAAGCCATTGACATATAATAAAAAAAAAATCAAAACTCTTTTTTTTTATTGCAATCAATTAAATTTTTCAATATTTATTTGTATTTAATTAATTTTTTATTTAGATAAAGGTTATTTTTTTATCAATTAAAATAAAATTTCATATAAAATTAATAAAATAAATAAATAATTTGTCATGTAGTACAATTAATATATACCATAGATCTAGTTTCCAACAACAAAGTATACAAAAAGCTTTATAGATAACTTGAGCTATGCTTCTTTACTTGAGAGAATCAACTGTAATTTCAGGTATTTCCCAATTCCCATTATTTTCTTTTTTCAATCCCACTACTGGTAAAGGGTAGGAATAGAAAATAGTGGAACATCATGCTATATCTTCAAACAAGGGGATGAAGTGGTCAAGCAAGGATGAATAATTTGTCTAATGTTGCTGTAAAACAAACAAGAGAGGACTTTTGTAAAAGCTGGGATATTAATTTGTCAGTTTAACCTGTTAAGTTTGGATGCTGTTTCTGTTGCTTTCTAGTCTAGTTTCGGGTGCTTGTTCTGAAACTTTTCATTTTCCCATTGAAGCAGGGCTCTGCTGCTGCTTGGGGATGAATGAATCAATTTCACTTATCCAGATACAAGTGCCATGTCTAATTTTGGAATCAATTAGGTTCTTACAATTTACGGACTGCATTATACAGAGGATAACTCTATGGTACGGGATGTTTAGCAATGTCGCAAAACATACCGGCTGAATAAATCTTTAAATGTCCAAACAACGAATGAATTGCGAAGAAGTTTATGCCCACCATGGAGCTTCACCCGTTCTGAAGTCTGTTTCGACCCATGGAACAAAGACTACCTTCCCGTCATCAACGTCAGCATGAGCCAATGCCAAGGACTGTTTCAACAAAGACAATAAACTCAGTCATTAACTTATTATAAAGAATAAAGAAAGAACGAGACAAAAATTAAAACAAAATGATAGACAACATATTTTGAGAACAAACTTTTGGATGTCAAAATTTTTTACTACTAGACTACATGCTCGTTTGCTTTTCTTTGCAATGAAGCTGCACTAAGTTACAGTTTCTGGAAGAACTCCCACGTGATGATGCTATATATATATATATATATATATATATATTTGAGGTTCTCATGGATTGAGTCCTGATCACTAGAACTTATAGTCCAACACTCTTCCAACATTCTAAACGTTGGCAATAAGTCCATGCTGACGGATTTACCTGTTCTGTGACTCTTTATTAATAAAGAAAAGCATGACAGAGCAGGTACGTGATATTTCCTAGTGATTCATACCAATAGAATGACCGAGTTTTCCTAAAGTTGAAGAGTGAAAAGACTGAAATGTATATTTTCGCTCTTAATCTGACTCACCAGGGGGGCAGGTCCTCTCACAACTCTTCCTTGTTCGTTGTACTGAGATCCATGGCAGGGGCAAATAAACTTCTTCTCAGCTTGATTCCATGGAACTACACATCCAAGGTGTGTGCAGACAGCATTTATACCATATGTTGCCAGAGTTCGGTCTTTCTCCACCACTAGGTAAGTTGGGTCTCCCTAAAATTCATAAATAACCAAAATATCTTTCATCAATTACTTGTTCACAACATCCAGATATTAGAATGTTTGAAAACCGATACTTTTTATATAACAAAAAATAATAACATCTAATGTTGCCTTGGCATTAATATGCTTCATCTGTAAGAGAACCATATATATCTTAAGATACTTACTATATGACATTGGCTACAGAATCAACATTCACAGTGCAGTTAGTACTCTTATTAATGTTTTATCATGCCAAACACTAGCAATAGGTAGAAACCTCAATAAAAAGAAGATTGAGCTCAACCAATTGCAAGCATGGCTCATCTTTGCAAAAGTCACCATTCACTTCCAAAACCTTGCACTGTAAGTGCTTACATATCAAAAAAATTTTCAAGAAGAAAGCAGAGCTGTAAGAGTTTTCATGTTGAAAGCTCTTAGGATTGAATTCAACATTCAGTTAGAACAAATTGTACTTGACATTGCGTATTTACCTTCAATCCTTGAGTCAGGGTTCGGTCCCCAGGGCCATGAGTCTTAAGCCATTCAGCTGCAATGATATCATTTCCAATTGCATCCTTGGCAATGGTACCATCACCAGCGCCTCGCCCCCTGTTATTGCATTTTAATAAAGGTTTAATACAAATAGAGATAATGGCATGGCCCAGCAAGTAAAGAGCAATCTTTTCTATTAAAATTTATTGACCACTTATTTGGAGCAAAAAACCCGTGACATGATTTATAATTTCATATTTAATGCCAATAAGTTGAATGGTTACCTTCTCCAGGTTTTCAGAATAAGTTGATAAATATAAAACAAAGGTCATTTCTAAATTTAATATCAGAATATCGGAGCTAGCTTAATGGGCAATTTGGTTCAAATAAACTGGGGGCCTGTACCCAATAGGCATGGCAGGTCAGTTAGGTGAAAACACTTTGGTTAACTAGCATGGGAGAAACCAATTTTCTGCTTGTGCTCCTACCCTCCACACTCATGTTGCTCTTTTCTTGAATTTATAAACCAATTTTAAAGGGTACTCAAGGTGAATTATCATTTCAAAATTTATAAACCAATAGTAGTAACTTAAATTTGACTAACAAGTAATTTTTCCTACAATAACTCAATCAATTAACTATAAGAATCAGATGAATCATCTATGGCATTAATTACTACCAACATTAAGAACTGAACAAATGTGAATTATCATTTCAAAATTTATAAACCAACAGTAGTAACTTAAATTTGACTAACAAGAAAGTTTTCCAACAATACTTCAATCAACCACCTACAAGAATCAGATGAATCAACTAAGACATTAATTAGCACCCTCATTTGGACCTGAACGAGGGAAGAAGAACTTACCCAGCTGGGACAAAGAAAGCTGCATAAGGAACCAACATGAAACCTGTGGGAAGTGAAACAGCCCCCAATAGAATCAGATTCATGAGCTGCCTCTTGCCCATGTCTGGCACTCTATCAGCAGGGATGCTAGCGGCCTGGCAGGTGATTCTCATTCCCTTACCCTTTTTAACCATCTGGTTCCTTGTTTGTTTCACAAGAAAAGCTTGTGATGGGCAGAACATGCCACTCATGCTAGAGCATATCTGTTAAAAGAACAAAAAAATTCAGTTACAAGATCGGAAGAAGTATTTTACAAAGTAGTTTTAACTACCTACAAGTGTTGGGATATACCTGCGAAGGAGCACAAGGGGAGAGAGTTGAGGAAGCCATAATAGAAGAGACTAGGTGCAGTTGTGGGACTGTTGGGTTGGCGTGTGTTTTCCATCCAATACTTTGGAGATGGCCAAAGGTAAAACGACCACAACAGCAAGTAGATAAGGCACGTGGCAAGCTATGGTGCCACATAAGCAACATGTTGTGGAGCATGCTTCTCTCTCTTCGTAGCCGGAGCCTCGTCCCTGTCTTGGGCCTAAGTCCAAACACTCAAACTTCCAGACTTTACTCACTGCAACGTCAATCGGGGTCATTGTCCAACTTAATGGGCCAATCAAATAGCTTAAGCTTCCGGATATTTATTCTGTTTATTTATATAAAATCAATGCTAACAGGATATTTATTTTATTTTTCATGTTACTGTAACAACCTTAAATATGAATATATGATAATATACTATTTTTTAATATATGTGAAGAAACCAAAAATTAGGAGAATAAAATTGAAGGTAACCATTTTAGTTTAAGACAAAGGAAAAACAGTCCTATAAAAAGTGGAAATAAGTGATGGAGAAAACAGTAATTAAATTCAATAAAAATTTCAAAAAGAACTCATCATAAATTTAGTATAGAATTTGGAAATTTTAAAAAGTTGAGTAAATAATTTATAAGCATAATAGAGGCCAAGTAATAATACTCACAAGAGACTTGTAGAAATTTGTATAAAGGTAAAACATTAAGGTTTTCAAGCATTTTACCAACCAGCAAATTAATTATCCTAAACTTAGACATTAGCAAATTATCAAACAATGAAACCTTTACTTTTTTATATGAGAATAAAAAAATTGATCGAACTTGGAAATTTTACTGAAATCTTACATCACTTTTATCGCTCCAATTTTGCTCAAGTCGTAAAATTATCAAACACAAATAAATATAAAAAAAAAAGGACGTCCTTTCAAAACGCAACTACCTAATTGACTCGATGCAACTTGAGTTGAGTCTATAGGCTATTTCTTTTTTTAAAGATAAGCTCAAGTTGAATCATTGCTTCATTTAATTATTATTTTGTTATTAAAATAATATTATATTCTTTTATATAAATATTTGAAATATATTTTAAAATTAAATAAAAATATGTTGTTTATAAATAAAATAATTTAATTGAACTAAGCCCGACTGGATTTAAATTTGAACAGCAATTAGCAGGTTTGATCTGAGCTAAACTGAGCCCATGGGCATGGGCGGGGACATTACTGGTCCTTGGACACTCTAGTTTAGCCGGTGTACTTGTAGCCGTAGGTACATCAACAGTTACTTGAACCTTAATACAATTGGTCGGTGTCAGGCTTGTCACTCTTAAGACTGGAGTTTGAATCTTAATGCATGCGATTCCTTTTTAGTGTTAGATTACCCAAAAAATATCAACAGAAGCCCTCGATTGGAAATTAATGCCTAAAAAGGCAACAAATCCGCAACCACAGCTGCACTAAACAGCAGCAACCTAGAGAAATCATTTTAAACCAAACAAATGGAACTCCAACGATTATAAAACTCTGTGGCATCGAAGTACAAAAATTAATGTGACTCCAACTAGGTATAAAATCTCAGCACAGCATACATATATATGGTTTCTAATGCGCAGCCTCAAACTCTAATCTTTGCACAAACTTGCATGCGTATCTCTTTTCTCGCATGGGTTAGCTGTTGACTAACCTGTTGTCTTAACATATTTATAGGATTCGTTTCTTCAAGCTTTATCTCTGTTTTTCTTTATATTTGATGCTAGCTAAAATTGTCCTTATTAACAAAACTAAGAATCCCAGCCAAATGTCTAGCATCCCGAGTATACATATCCAAAACCTGAGTATATTAGATTTTTTGTCATAACGCTCGTTTTGTTAAAAAAAAAAATTATCATTAATTTTTTTTTATTTAGATATATTTGATCATCTATGTGAATTTATTATTTTTCAAAATTATTCTTAATTTGAATTAATAGTCCTTAAAAAAAATTCTAATTTACATTAACACAACAAAGTTTCAGAATAGATTACACGTAAGAAAGATTTTAACACCACATTATATCCAAAATTAGTATCAAATTAATTTATATGTTATCTTACCTAAGTCTTATCAAATATGGTTTTTCATCATACAAATAAATCAATTCCAATCATTTTATTTATTTACACAATATTGTCATACAAAACATTCTATCATAATCAAATCATGCAATTATGCAATTATGAAAATATCATAAATATCACGCCAATATAAAATCATACCAGGATATCATGCAATAAATTAAATTCATAAAAGATATCATACAATAAATTTAAAAATATCATGCAATAAAAACATCATGCAAGAATATAAAATATCATGCAAAAATTATCATGTCATAATAACATCATGCAATAATATAAAATATTATACAAAAATTATCATGCAAAATCATGCAAATATAAAATATCATGCAAAAATGATCATGTAAAAGCATGCAAATATATATTATAATTATTTATGCAAAAATATCATACAAGACAATTACAACTTCACAACTTTTTTACTTTTTCTCCTAAAAATCACATTATTTAAGTAAAATCAATGTTAGGAAAAAATTAAAAAATAAAAAAAATAAACTGAGTTAGGTTAGCTTATGGGTTGCCCTATGGATTACAATGTTTGTGGGTCAATTCTCCTTTTCCAACTTGGAATGGTACTATTTGCACTTTAGAAGCAAAATTCATATTTGTTTCTTTCTTCCTCTCTTTCTTCTTCTAAGTTCTAATTATTTCCTTTTTCTTCAAACCTTTAACTTTCATCTCTCTTCTCTAAGATTTCAAAATTTTAATTAGAAAACTTCTCAAAAACATATGCATTATGCCATTGTCCATTACCACGTCGTTAGCGTCAGGGCCCGCAACAAGAAACCCTTTTTTAGTTACTTTCATCTTTCTCTTTTAGACCATACTTTCAAAGAATCCTTCTAAATCTATATCCAAATTTGCCACCACCAAGAACACCATTTTGTTGCCTTCTTGATAATCTAGAACTAACAAGGACCAATTCATTTTTAACCTTCTCTGACCGACCAACTCCAAACGCCAAACAAATCAACCCTAGACTTTCACCCCAATCATCCCTTTTTATGTTTGTTTTGGATTGATTTTTGTACTGCTTATTGTGTTTTTCTTGCTGTTGGTTCCTCTATTTCAAGTTTGGTTTCCTTCTGGGTCTGGTTTTACTAACTCTTGGGTGTCTGTGTTAGGGCTTGCTTTGGGTTTAAATTGGCTTTAGGTTTTTTTGGGTTTATTGTTGAGTAAGAGCTTTTTGGCTTTTAGAGTAATTGCCAATTGTGATCCTGCTGGGTTGATTTTGAGACTATGTTGAATTACCCTATTTTGATGCCAACTAGAAGCTTTCTCTATTTGGTTTTTTCTAGTTTCCCTTGTATGCTCTTTGTTAAATTTCTTGAACTATTGCTGTTGAATTACTTGAAAGCTTATTGCCAAATTATTGTTGATTGCCATTTAGTTACTAATTGCCTCTTACTTGTTAATTGAAGCCCTCAGCTACTGTGTGGTTGCTTTTTGGTGGCTTTTTGTCAATTGTTCTACTCTTTATTTGTGAATTGCCCAAATTGCTTTCTTAATTCTTCATTGATTACTCCTTTGCTTGTTTTTTCTTCAGTGATTTCTTCTTTGCTTTTGTCTACTAATTGACTTTAGATATTGTGGTTGTAATTGCTTGATTCTTTATTGCTCCCCCTTATGATCACAAATTCAAGATCTTTATATAGGGATTGAAATCCCGATTCAACTTGGACAAGCATTAACCTCACTAAATCTACCAAAGATTTCAAAGATTCTTTTTTTTCTGATTTTTTTTTTCATGAATTGGCAACCAAATATTTCCTTAACAATGAATTATTAACTCCATAATCTAAAACAAATCCAAGCTAAAACCAAATCCAAGACTAAATTTGCTAATTTCTAACTTGTTTTGTTTTTTGTATTTTGTTTTCTAATTTTCTTTTTTTTTTTAACTTTTCTAGTACTAATAATAATACTTAAAGTAACATTAAAATTAAAATCAAAATTCAAATTCAAATTTAAATTCAAATTTTTGAGCTTTTAACCTCTCTGGCCTAGAACTTTCCAATCAATGCCTAATTTACAATTGAATACCCATTTTGATACCAAAAAAATTTTTAGACAAAATGAGGTGCATATAATTGTTCCTCTTTGCACATTTTTTTTTTCTAAAATAGGAATTATACAAAGACCAAATACATATATTTTGTTCAGGTTTAGAAAAATTAAAAAAGAAAATCGTAAAAACTCATCATTAACAAATGTATTGAAATTTTTGAAAAATAAAGTGCTCTTCCACAACTGAGGTTTTTAAACTTTTGAAAAATAAAATGCTTTCCCATAACTGAGGCATTGAAACTTTTAGAAAATAAAATGCTTCCCCACAACTAAGGCTTTGAAACTTTTGAAAAATAAAATGCTCCTCCACAACTAAGGCTTTGAAACATGTGAAAGATAAAATGTTCCTTAACAACTAAGGCTTTGAAATTTTGGAAAGATAAAATGCTTTCTCACTATTGAGGTTTTGAAACTTTTGAAAGATAAAACGCTCCCCCATAATTGAGGCTTTGAAACTATTGAAAGATAAACTGTTTTTCCATAATTGAGGTATTGAAACATTTGAAAAATAACATGCTTCCCTCACAACTGAGGTATTGAAACTTTTGAAAAATAAAATGATCCCTTACAATTGAGGCATTGAAACTTTTGAAAAATAAAATACTCATTCACAACTAAGGCATTGAAACTTAAAACAATCTTACCTTAAAGCGAATCTCTAAATCATCATTGATGTCTTTTCTTAAAATCATTTCAACATCTACTTTCAAAACATATGTAATGAATGCATGCAATGAATGAAAACATTTTTCAAAATTCCCAAACTTAGTTTCAAAACTCAAATTTTAATTCTTTTTTTCAAAGATGCATAATGAATGCAATGTTCCTATGATGCATAAATGCAGTGAATGTGATGAATGCAATGAATGTAATGCAAAAGTTAATATCATTTATCTCTAATAGTAGTAAATGGTTCTTAAAACTCATCTTCATGTTTTCTCTCACTTTCAGCTTCCCATTATGTTCTTTTTTATCTTCTTTAAAATTAGCCAACAAATATATCAACCAATTTGTGACCCAAAATTCTCTAGTTTCATTATTTGATCTCAACATTTGAAACATTTCTTTTCATTTGTAAGCCACAAAATCAACATTCTTTTAAATTTTTTCATCATTCACATTTTATTTTTGATCTGCCCCAATCATTTTTAAATTTTTTAAAATAATGTAAGGATCTTTCAAATCAATCATTTGTTCATTCATCATCATTTAATTTGATGACAAATGTAATCCATCACATTTTCTTAAGGAATAAATGGTGAAGAACAAGAGTAATAAAAAAAATGATATTCGTTATAAGAACAAATCTAGCAAAGAATAAATAGGCAAAGAAACCATTTTAAAGTAAATTATCAAGATAAATGTTGGGAAGGGTTCACAACATCTAAGACAATGAATATTCAGATAATTCTAAATAAATTAATTCTAAATTCTTTTTCACAAGCTCATTCCACTGATATCTTTGATTTTTAAACTTATTAATCCAAGCATTATCCATATCTCATGAGATACTCATTAAAGCTATTTTTCCAAGTTTCAACCTTAAATACATCTTTTTTTTACTTAAATCATCCTTTCAAATTTTAAATTTAAGTTTTCTTTTTTTTTTCTCTTTTTTCACATTTTTTCTCATATTTTCCTTTTCCCTTGACCCATCAATGACATTTCAATCAAAATCTCAAACTATTCCATTATAAGTCTACCTTAGTTCAATTCATCATTCTCTAATTTGAGCATTTACATTCAATCAAAATAGACTTTTAAGATGTGTAACGTAGGCTAAGGTTATAAGTTGTGAAAGAAATAGGTAAAATAGGACCAAAATATATTTGAAGGGTTATAAACCAAATGATCATTTATCATCATGTGGAGCATCTTAACATTTTACCCCATTCTTTATCAATTCTCTCTTTTTTTTTCTTACTTTGTTTCACATTTTCTCTTTCATTTTTAATTTTAAATTTTTCATCATTTTTCAAGAAAAATCCAAGCATAAAAAAGTTTTATCCCTAAAGTCATTAGGGACCTTCATTTTTTTCTAAGAATAAGCTTTGTTAAACTTTTGCTTCCTAGTGTGGAAGGTGAACCTTGGTGGGTTTTTAAAAAGAATTCAATAGGTTCAAAAAGAGGTAGCAAACTGATAATTTTACTCCTTGTGTGAAAGATACATGAAAGATAACCATTTCTCATTTTAAACATGAATACTCTAATTGAAAAACTTTTATTGACTAAGAGCTAGCAAACTTGTAAATGAAGCATGATAAAAACCACATATTGCATTGCTTTTATGAGTGAAACTTTTTGCTAAATTTGACTCATTTCATAAAATCTGTCTTCTTTTACTTTAGTAATCTCAATAGATTAAGAGTCTCAACTTATTAATTTTATCAATATGAATGATGCTTTCAAAATTGAACCTTGAATTACTGTCATGATTAGTTGACCATTCATTATTTAGAACATAAGAGTGGGTGAAATATGAGAGGCATATATAAAGGCAATGAAAAAAAATGTAATGAAAATGCATCTATCATTTTATTAAAATGATGAAAGATAAATAAAATATTAATATAAAATACTCTTAAATGTTTATAAAGACTTACATTATTTCTTAAAGTTCCTAAGAAGATATGCATTCATAAAAAATTTCTCAAAATTATGCTCATGTGTGGTTAGGCAAAACGTTGTTGATGACATTCAGCCCTACTTCTTAATCAAAATTTACCAAACTAGCTTTGACCACACTTTGCACCCTATACTTCAATGTTATGTATTTTTTTATAGAATGGCCATCAATCTTAGAATAATAGTTACAAGTAATATTAACATCATATCATTTAGGGTAAAAAGGCTTCATAAGTTTTAAATAAATTAGTACGACCAAATGGCTTTTAATGAGCTAAGGGAGTAACTCAGTATGTGTTATAGAGATTAGATCTATGAGAGCTTTTTTTTTTTACCCAATGCTTAGGTTAAACAACTGGCTAATTTGTAGGTATAGAGTTGAGTGGCTGCATGATTGGTTAATAAGCATAAAGACTTGGGAGATGTTGTTTATGGTTAGATAATAAGGTTGGTACATTGGGCATGGATAATATGGGTGAAGTTTCCAACATGTTGTCTCTCATGAATTACAACTTAATATCTCTTTCTTTTTTTTATTTTTGGTATAGCCCATTTCTTTGTATTAGTTTCATCACCCCCTTCTAGCTTCCTATTCTTAATAAAACTTTTAATGATTTCCTTAGAAATTATCATATTAGCAAAGTTATTTGTAGCATTATTGATCATTCTCTCATACTAAAGGGCCTTAAGAGTGTTGACAAACATAATTGTAGTTTCTTTTTCAATCAATATAGGTTGCACTTAAGCAGCCATTTTCTTCCATCTTTAGGCATATTCTTTGAAACTTTCATTAGCCTTCTTTTTCATATTTTGAAAAGACAAACAGCTTGTGCAATAAAAGCCCTTACTAGTTCTTTCTACTTGAAACCTATCTAATAGCACACACTATCTTGTGGCTAAACCAGTGAGACTGTTTTAGAAAACATTGATATACAACTTTTCATCATGTGCATGTGTAGCCATTTTGTAACAATACATTGTCACATGTGTTATGGAGCACTTAGTCTTATCATACTTTTCAAATTCAAGCACTTTAAACTTTGGTAAAATTACAACATCAGAAACCAAGCACAATCCAACAAATCCATTGATCCATAAAAATATGTCCCATCAATAGCTTTAAGCTTTTCTTTTATGAAGTCTATCTTTTGTTGGGATTTCGAGCCTTTTTTGGCTTTTACTATGCTTATCTTCAATTTCTCTTACTCTTTTAGATCATCTAGATTGGAAACTTGGGTTAGATTAGATATCTTGACATCAAGAATAGAAATAATATGAGTAGAAGTAACAGTTGAAAGCATGTCAGTATACATGTAAGGCTAGCCTCCAATAAATGACATTTGATGTTGAGCCTTTTAGGATGTTCATGCTGAGTATAGGGCCAAACCAAGAGGATACAATGGATCAATGTCACTTTGGACCACCACTTTCTTCCCCTTATTCATGTTTTTTAGCAACTTAGTAATAGTCTCTATTTGTCCCTTTAATTCCTCTTATGCCTTTTTTTAACTTTTGAAAGAGAAAAATGTTTTCTTCTTTCATGATCTTTACTTGATATTGAGTGTTGTAACACCTCATATTATTCAAAGATTGAGCGAGCTATCCTTAAACCTTAATTTACCATAATTAAGGTGCATATTTAGAAAGATATTTATGAAACCATCTTATGTATGAGATTGAATGCTTGAATACAATAAGGAGGATTTATCACATAACAATTGTTAACAAAAAAAAAGATCTTTGTTGAATTAAAAGTTATTTTGACAAAATCTAATATTACATCCATAAAAAAATCTAGAGTTTATTATGAAAAAAAATTCTTAATTTGTTGATATTGGCTTTGCACTTCATTAAAAAAATCTAATAATTCTTGGCCATGAGCTCTTACTGGTGGCACCTTTGTTTTCCATTCTTCAACATTTTAAACCATTTCCATGGCTTTGTAAATAGCCATAGTGATTTGGTCAAGCAACCACTTCAATTGGTCATACTTCCTCACATATATCTTCTTTTCTTGCTCACATTCTTCATTCACAGTCCTTATTTGTATTTCAATTTCTATAACCCCATTTAGCATTTGGATGTGCTTTTGTGCCTCAAAGAATGCCTTTTCACTTTCTTATACTTTTTCTTACAATTATCCATTATCCCTTAGGTGTTGGGCCAACTCATGAATAGTGGATGATTGTGTAGTGTTAATGTTAGTGAACAAATTCTTCCATTCATTCTTTTCTTGTTTGAATGCTTGGACTTCCCTTTTAAGCCTTTTGTTTACAAGTTTCAACTCCTCGGACTTTTTTTTCAAGCCAATAGAGAATTTTACTAAGCTTTCCATGGATGCAATTAAGATTATTTTTGTTAAGATTGTTTTATGGCAATCATTCCTTATGATAAATCTAATAATGCATATGCCACATACAATAAAAGAAAAGGGTTAGTAAATACAATATATACATGGAACATAATACAATTTAACAAGTAGAATAATAATAAATATCTCATCATATGTCTTATTTAGGATTTTCTAACAAAAGGCAGGGTAGCATTTTAACTTAGGTTCAGATCCTTAGGATTTATTTACATGCTAGGTTTAAAGGCTTGACAATCTAAAGTTTCCTAAATTGTTCCTTACATTATCATCAATTATAAACTAGTAAGGCATTTTAATCTTCACCCACCATTATAAGCTCAAACAAAAATGATTTAATTTGAGTGAGAGTTTTCTCTAGCTCACACGAAGGTTGTCATCTCATAAGAATATAGGTACTTACTTCTTCCTAATAAAAAAATCATGCAATAAATTAAATTTATAAAAGAAATCATGCTATAAATATAAAATATCATGCAAAATCATGAAAATATATATTATAATTATTCATGCAAAAATATCATACAAGACAATTACAACTTCATAACTTCTTTTTTACTTTTCCTGCTAAAAATCATGTTATTTAAATAAAATCAAGGTTAGAAAAAAAATTAAATAACAAAACATAAAAAAAAACAAATAAACCGAGTCAAGTTACCTTGTGGGTTGCCGCAAGGGTTACAAGGGTTATGGGTCAATTTTCCTTTTCCAACTTGGAATGGCACCATTTGCAATTTAGAAGCAAAAATCATATTTGTTTCTTTCTTCTTTTAAGTTCTAATTATTTCCTTTTCTTACGAACCTTTAACTTTCATCTCCCTTTTCTAAGTTTTTAGAATTTAACCGAAAAACTTCTTAAAAGTTGATGCATTGTGCCATTGTCCACTACCGTATTGCCAACATCAATGGCGTAACAAAAGACCCTTTTTTGGCCCTTCCTCCTTTAAACAAAATTTTCAAAGAATCCTTTTTAAATCTATATTCAAATCTGCCACCACCAAGAATACCACTTTGCTGCCCTTTTGACAATCTGCAACCAACAAGAACCAATTCCTTTTTTACTTCCTCTGACGGACCAACTCCAAACACTAAGCAAATCAACTCGAGACTTTCACCCCAATCGTCCCTTTTTATGCTTGTTTTAGATTGATTTCTATACTACTTATTGTGTTTTTCTTGTTATTAGTTCCTTGGTTCCAAGTTTGGTTTCCTTCTGCGTTTAGATTCACTGGCTTTTGGGTGTCTATGTTAGGGCTTGCATTGTGTTAAAATTGACTTTGGGTTTTTCTGGGTTTATTGCTGAGTGGAAGCTTTATGGTTTTTTGAGTAATTGCCAATTGTGATCCTACTAGGTTGATTTTGAGACTGTGTTGAATTATCCTGTTTTGATGCCAATTGCACACTGAAACTTTCTTTGTTTGCTTTTTTTGTTTCCCTCACATGCTTCCTGTGAATTTCCTGAACTGTTGTTGCTGAATTACTTGAAAGCTTATTGTCAAATTGCTGTTGATTACCATTTGTCTGCTAATTGCCCCTTGCTTGTTAATTAAAGCCCTTGGCTATTATGTGATTGATTCTTGGTGGCTTTTTGTAAATTGTTCTCCTCTTTGTTGTGAATTGCCCGAATTGCCTTCTTAATTCTTCATCGATTGCTCTTCTGCTTGTTTTTTCTTCAATGATTGTTTATTTGCTTCTATCTACTAATTGACTCTAGAAATTGAGCTTGTAATTGCTTGATGCTTGATTGCTCCCTCCTATGATCATATATTTAAGATCCTTATATAAGGATTGAAATCTGAATTCAACTTGGACAAGCATTAACCCCACTGATTTTACCAAAGATTTTCAAGATTATTTTTTCTGTGATTTTTTTTTTTTTGATGAATTTGAGACCAAATATTTCCTTAGCAATGAATTATTAACTCCAAAATCTAAAAGACCAAATTTGCCAATTTATCACAGTTTTCTATTTTTAAATTTTCTATTTTTTTTTTTACTTTGACTGGTACTAAAAATTACATTAAAATTCAAATCAAAATTCAAATTCAAATAAAAATTAATATTTTTGGGCTTTTAACCCATTCGGCCTAAACTTTCCAATTGAAACCCAATTTATTGTCAAAGGCCCATTTTAATACTAAAAAAATTATCAAACAAAATGGAGTTCCTAGACTTTGACAGCATATTAACTGAAGGGATCTGATTTAGTCAGGTGAAGAATCTACAAAGTACCTCAAAACCAGCGGAAAAAATTAAACAGACCTTTTGTTCCAGGTTTTGTGGGAAGAAATGCATGTAGCTTGTTAGTATGCACGCATAATAAATACTCTCTCAGTTCATGCAGTCAACTTTTTATGACTATTACTTGGAAATTTAAAACGTCTAATTTAAATAGTAATTGGTAAGATAATTTAGTTACTCATTTAAGTTACAATTGCAATATATATCGTACTAATATACTTAACATGCTGGATCACCAAATAACTAAACGTAAATTATGCCCATCCTTACATCAACTGATAGAGCAAATCTGCAGAATCACCATAACACATTTCATAAGGCAATGGCAGCACAAGTCCACCCCTTGCCAAGAATGGTGGATAACCATCTTGATTGTAGATATTTTCTACTACAAAGGGCTCACTCCAGAAATCTCCGCTGCTTTGAGCTTCATATATTTCTGAAGAAGAAGGGAGACAAATATCTTCCATACCGCCACTAACATTTAAGCTGGATATATATCCACTGTCGGAGATGAAGGAGGATAATTCAGTAGTCGATTTTGTTGTTGGAGACAAGGGTGAGCTCTCTAAAATCATATTTGGGGGGTTATCAATAAGGACGCTTTCAGCTTCACCTTCAGAACTGTGAGTGGCCTCACTTTGGGAAGTTGTACTAGAGTACTCTTTCCCATCAGATGTTCGCTTTGCACGCTTCTTTAGATGAGTGTGCCAGTGATTTTTTATTTCATTGTCTGTTCTTCCAGGTAAACTTGCAGCGATCGTGGACCATCTGTACATACATAAATCGTAGATTGTTAGTTAATTTTCTTATATCCGCAATATGACGATTACATGCTTGCGTAAGGCTCCAGTATATTGATGGCTAAAACGATGATGAGCGTGTTAATGACAATGAATGTGAGATTGAATATGAGTTTAATGATATTGGTACTGGAGTAGCAAGAAGGACCCACTTTAAGATTAGAAAGCGTATTTTTACTCCAGTAATTTTTTACAATAATATATGTATCTCTGATAATGACATCCAAAATATGAATTTTTTATATGATGAAGCTGTTTAAATTTGAAAATTGAGGAAAAAGTTTGATTTCTCCCTTCCAGGGGAAGGTTTCGTAGTTAGAAACTTATGAAAATCAAAAGCAGGCTGATGAAGATAATATTTCAGAGTCTTTTTTATTTATTTAATTGGAATCTTGATTACTTTTTTGGTTGTAAAGAACTTTGATGTGTTATGTTATGTTTCTGTTGTCTTCCCTAACAATTAATGGGAGGAATTACTGAGTTGTTGCTTTGTTTAAGGCATCGTGATTAAGTTCTCAAGACCTGGTAGCGCTTTGGTCCAGGATAAAGAGTAGGGCACATCTTCTTTTTTGAACATGTTCAAGTTCCTTAGTAATCTAGTTTTTCAAGTTAGTTTTTATTGTTTGTTGGTTTTCAGGTTTTGTGAGTGTTGGAGCTATAGTTGCTTATGGGTTTTTTATTTGGTTGTCCATCTTTTGTTCTACAATTTTAACTTTTGGGCTGGATATTTGTACCTTTTTTTTTACTTCTAATTCTTATACTGGCTTTTAAAAAAATTATTCAATGACGGACTGTACCTATAATATTGAATTCTAAATCGATTGAGGGCTTAATCAGCAAGATGTCAAGACTGGATCTAACCTGTTTCCAAATTCTTCATGTAATTTCATGATCAAGGCATCTTCTTCTTCAGTGTAGTTCCCATGTTTTACTTCAGGCCGGAGGTAATTCATCCATCTTAATCTGCAACTCTTTCCGTCCCTTTTAAGACCTGAAGAAAATTTAGCAAAATTAGATAATCTTATGAACATGAAGAGAGTGTTTAACATTTAATTAGATATCAAAACTCCAACTATTGCTGCTAAAAGACTGAAATCAACACTAAATTAGGTTTTCCATTAAGCAAACAAAATAGCCAAAGAAAAATGCAAAATTGGCCAAAAGAAATGTAGCGGATCACAGAAAATGAATTTTGTTTTAAAAGGCAATAATAAAAATAAAAGGGAAAAGGAAAGAAAGAAAAGAAAATTCAGAAAAACAAAAATTCTCTCTCCTTTTGATCTCCAAAAGAGATAAAGAAGAGCAAAATCTTGAATGGATATCCAGGAACAACCTTTCGTTTAATAATTAAACTTCAAAACAAGTTAATATGATTGAAACCTGAAAAGAATTTATTAAAAAACCATAGTTTTCTCCATAAAATCATAGGAGTAAACCTATTCTAAAATTCTCTCTATTTGAGTATTGATTCTAGCAGTAAGAAATAAGAATGAAAGTACCAGCAAACTTAGGAAGTTCACGCCAGTTCCAATGGCCAAATCTCTGAATATAAGATCTTAGTTTATGGTCTTCTTGAGGACTCCATGCACCTTTCTTCATTCCATTTTTATCATAGAAAGGAGCTCTCACCATCTTAGCTAGCTTTCTTTTACTCTAATATTATCTCTTGAAGGTTCTTTCCAACCACAGACAGCTAGAGTACCATAGATCATTAAACACATTGCAAATCAGATCTAATTTTTATACCCAGTACCCTGATTTGAAAATGAAACGTGTTTACACTAGTGACATGGACCTGCAACCCCCAGCATTGAAATATAGATCTACCCTAGAATTATTAACTCCATATATTAAGGAACTGGGGCCCCTTTTACCGACAAAGCGTTCAGGATATAGTAATTGTTAAAAGAGTGAACAAGGAGACTTCCTAAAAGTGTATATATGTGAAATTGTTAGAAGGAGATTTCTAGCTGGGCAAGGTAGTGATACCTCGTGATCTTCGCTGCACCCTCTTATTCACCCACGTGGGGTTAAACTTCAAAGTATCAAACTTAGTGGTCAAGGTCATAGCTCTCATGAATCATGACTCGTTTTGTTTGTTTTAAGTTCACATGCAGTTTCTTGTCCTTTTCGTCGGTATGTCAACACTCAAATAGTAACATATGTAATAGAATATGGCATCTGCATATAGTCTCTTATAATTTTTCATTCTGTAAATGAATATATCCCCCATTTGACTCTATTAGTTTCTCCCTATCTTGTTTGGTTTCTTTGGAATATTTGATGTTATTAGAATTTAGAATATTCTCTTTTTGCAAATAGCTGTGTGATGTTTTAGTAGAATATTAGATCTTAGTTCTAATTATAAAAGTTTAAGCTCTAACAATCTCTTATATATATATATATATATATATATATATATATAGAATTATCCTCTTTCTTTTTCGGTAATTGAAGAGAGAAATTACATGGAGTTATCCACTTATTTATATTAGGGCTGTACTGAGAGCTCTAACCCATGTATCTTTTCCTTGGGAGCTTTATGTTCCCCGGCAGATTCAACAGGCTCCAACAAGATCATAATGCACCTTGTTTTTTCTGCTTAATGACAAATAATTCTAATTATTTTTTGGGTAACTGACAATTCTGCTGCAATTATGATTATTATTATTATTATTATTATTTGACTCCTTCACAATGCTGTTAGCATAAATATAAATATAAATATATATATATATATATATCAAAGACTGTCTGGTCATGCCAAAAAAAAAAAATGATAAAGGTTGACCTAATAAAAAGTGACTTGATACTTCATGATTCCATTTATATTCTGTTAGAAATTTTTAAAATAAAATATAAAAATAATTTTATATTTTTGAAAAAAAAGACAATCATTTAAATTAAGAGAAATAGAAATTCATTATAGTTGGACTTATGGCTAATGGACTATGGGCTTAAATTTTCAAACTCAGTTGCTCATGCAAATTAATTATTTAAGTAATGACAATTGGCACTTGAAGTTTAATTAAGTATATGATGAATTAAGTGTGTCCAAGTAGACAAATAAGAACAGGTAGATAAATTTATTAAAAAACGGATAATTTTTAATTCTTTAAAAATAAATAATTTTTATCTATTCAAAATAAATAATTATGTTAATAAAATAAAAAGATATTTAATTTGTTCTATAAAACTCCTCGATTTTTTGAAAAACCTATAGAAACAATTCTCGAAGTTCTCTTTCCTTATTCAAACTCTAGATTTTTTTAAAAAAGTTTTACTACAAAATTTTTATAAAAGTTTGATAATCTTGTGATATGTTGGTGAATATTCAGTAGATTGATTTTGTCAGTGCAAAAAAATAACTAGTCATTGAATTTTATTATAATCTTGAGATTTATTGTTTGTGATTTTTTTGCATACTTATTAAATAAATAATACAATGAAAATAACTAAAACATTAAAAAAAAATAGCATTGTTACACACTTTGCAGTCTTTCTTCAAAATTCTAAATTTACCATAACCAATAATCTCATATTTACAGTTTTTGTTCCAACATATTCTCATCTAAATCTAACTATGGTCAAACATGTTCTAAAAAAAAAAAAAAAAGAAGCATTTCTTGACATGTTGAAGGGTATAAACAGGACAGATCAGAAAAGTTGTTTTCCGAATATGCGAATCCAGCGTGTTTTCCGAATATGCTAATCCAGCGTGGACAAACTAACTGTGCACCTTTATTAATTTAATCTCCAATTATTCATGCTTTATTATTCGCAGAAAATAATTTTCGTTCGAATATATTAGTACTATTTGCAGTTTTATTTCTATTATTTGTCTTTTATGTAAGAAAAAAAATTATTGGACAATCTAGAGTGAGATCTATTAATTATTACAATAAATTTATTTTGAACATTTATTTATAAATATAACGTTTACCATTGAACTAATAATTAAATTTTTGCAACATAAGAAAGTATAAATATATAGTAGGAACAAAATAGCAAAAATATATAAAAATGTAGGATCAAAAAGTCGTATGATTTGCTGCCATTGATAGCTTATGTTCATCTACGCGGTTGCAAAATTACAGGCCCTCGTTTCTTTTAAATCAATTTTGGACCAAACTGTCTGAAAGGGAATACTTTAAAGATTAATACAGCTATGACAATTTAACAAACTAAAATCAAACATTAAATGTATTTGGCACATTTGCCAGTTGTCAAAATTTGAGATGTTAGAAATTTAAATTTAATAATTTCTATATTTATATAATAATAGATTCATGCAAAATATATATGAAATACAAAAATCTTTTATATCATAAGTCGTATTTATATATATATATCAAATATAAAATATTTTTTTATTAACCCATGTATAACTTTTATCAAAATTTAAAATATATTACTTTCATAAATTTTTAAACAATGTTTTCGTATCATATCTAAAATTAACAAATCTATAAAAAAAAAAAAAAAAAAAAAACCTTGTCATGGAAGAGTTAGAAAATATTGTGCAACTTCTTACCGCATATATTAATATATTGCAGTATTTGATATTTTATAGAAATGTACATCAAAAACGAAAACACCGTAAATATCTAGCTAACTAGGCGCAAAACAATCATGTGAGGGTAAAAAGTCATATATCTACATGCTTTCTGACATTGTTCTTGATCCTCAAAATCAATTGCTTGCAATATTACTACACAAACAGCATCTGATTCACATGTTGAAACACTTTTCCACTTTTTCCCACAGCTACACAAAATCAATTCCACTACCTTTTTTATTGATATGAGTGGAATCCAACAAATTGTCTTCAAAAAGAATGTGATAGACTAGAACTAAAAGATTGCCGGTTTTCCACTAAAAAAATGCACAAAATCATCCATCCATCCATGATATATAATTTCTTATTAAAAATATCAGAATTTGCATCTTTCTTTTTTTATCTTTAACTAAAAGGAAAAGAAATACCAATCCATGGATTTATATTACTCCCTCCCTCCAATCACATTTGTTGCTTGGAGAAACTGCTGGAATTCGAATACAAGCAGCGGTAGGATTTATTACTTATATATGTGTCTCTTCTGCACTTTAATTTAGCATGTAAGGATTCCTTTTTTATTGCCACTCGGGGTGGCTGATAATGCTATTTACAAAACTGCTTGAATATACAACTCATGGATGATGCGAGGTAATGGAACTGTATGAGCTCAGCAGGTGACATCAGCTGCTGCTGATGTAAGATCAATAACAGCTGTATTGCTATGAAATTTTTCTTTGTTCCAACTAAAATATTAAAAAAGTAATAGCAATACAGGTGACATCAACTGCGGTCTTTTATGCACAAAAAAATAAACCAACAAAAAATTCATGAATAAATTATGAAAATAATCAACATTAGAGTGAACAAATTAAAAATAATGAAATTCTATATTTATAACTATTTTGATAAATTTAAGAGGGGCCAATTAGAAATAGAAAAGCGACAAAAGAAAATTTCAATACACAAATGTCATTTGGAGAAGCCAGGGAGCCATGGCACCCCTGGCTAGCTCCGTCCCTGACCAAAAGGAAAACATTATTATTTCATAATGTTGGAGAACCTGAGTGAGATATAATAGCTACTCTAAACTTTAATCACCAAAATTTTAAAAAATGAAAACAAAATGATAGCATTAATCTAAAACAAACCGGAAAATTAGGGGAAGAAATTATGGTGAGAAAAAGATGCTAAAATATACAAAAATTTTGTATATAAAGACAAAATTGATAGATGGAATTAATAAAACAATGAGACTCATTTCATCAATTTATTATTTCAAGGTAAATTTGATAATTTAAAATATGATATGATGATATGATATAAAAATTATAAGAATAATATTATTTAAAATTTTAATATAAATTATATACAAATTTAATAAAATAAAAAAAATCATTTTAAATTTGTGTTGATACCAAATGTAAGATATAATTTTTGTATAAAATATGATATAAATAAATAAATTATTATTTTATATAATATAAATACATAAATTATTAAATCTATTTGAGAGGGTATTACTTAGTGTATGATTCACATGTTAGAAACTGTTTTTAGTAATTATATATATATTATTAATAGTAGAATTATTTTTAAACTAATGATCACATTTAGTGACTTTTGACGGGGATAGACGACTTTGAGTCCACTTTTCTCAAGTAAAATCTTTGAAGCAAATTTACAACATTGATAAGAGGAACACATGGAACGGTAACGTCCAAAGATAAATGATCTTTATTTATTTATTTTGTTAATGCTGCATTTGGCATTAGCCCTAAAATATTATGCACCGACCACTAGGGATAAAGGACTTTGTTGGCTTAGGCTCCAATTGAGAGGTTGATTCCATTACTCTCAGCATTACTCTCATCGCACCATTATCTTCTAACCATTATCATGAATTTAAAAATTAAATTTTATAAATTTATAAATAAAAATAAAATACAAAGTATTATAAAAAGTTATGAGTGATTGGCTTATGTTACATGATTTGATGACAAAGTTTTTTTTATGAAATGTCTATAAGAATCCTAAAATTTATCAAGAAAATTAATTTTGTTTAATATAAATAAGGTTCTTTTTTTTATTTTGATTTTCTGGTTTTGGGTTGCAACATTATATCATCATACGTTGACGTGCCACCTAACGAAGAGAGTCATTGGACGCACGCGGAATGAAGACTAGATTTTTGGCTTGGAGCCAGACATTGACCATAACTGTCTGGCTGTGTAAAATTTGGACATGGAAATCTACTAAGTAGTGATGGCATAATTCAACTAAACCTGATGAGTCTTGGCAAAAAAAACTTAACCAGATAAGTTCTCACAGTAACTTAGAATAGATTAACTTGTATTACAAAACTTATATTTTCAGCTTTGTATGTTTAAGTTTGCATTTGGAGAGAACTACTACACATGAAAGATTTAGAAAGAGTTGCTGATTTTGACTGAAATTAGCGTTTTGAAAAGTATTATCAATTTTAAATTATTTGAAAGATATAAGTATTTATGTTTGTTAAAAAGCTTCGCTAAACTTATTT